AAATTGGCCTCTAAAAAGCTTGGCGTGCTCAGCAGAGCGGGACAGTATTTCATGCCGGCACACCGCCTGCAACTTTATAAGGCGCAGGTTCGGCCGCACATGGAATACTGTTCCCATCTCTGGGCTGGGGCTCCCCAGTACCAGCTTCTTCCACAATATAAGAAATCATTATGTAAACCAGTACGGACTGGTAATTGCAAATAAAATACGCCGATTAGAAGATCTAAAGACTAAGCGCGCAAGATATCTAACAGCCTTAAATTTCTTGAAGAGATGCCGAGACCATAATCTCATTCCTACGTGTGTCAAAATATCCACCAAAAAGGACATTCGAGGAAGCGCTAAGATCTTAAATCAGGCAAGTAAAAAGTTGTTACGGGCGGTAATCCAACAAAAACGCTCCGATCTATATGACATAAATAAATCCATAGACATATCATCCAGTGAATTAAAGAAAGTTTTAACGACGTTTGATTATAATTTTTGCATGGAAACATTAAATAAACGCGAGATTAGTAAATATAACGAATGCAAAAACAAACATATAGAAAAATATCAAAAATTAACGGCCAAATCAAATGTCAAACATCCGATTCAATGCCAGAACCAAAAGCAACCATTGACAAACACAGATCATAGATTAATCGCGTTCTATAATCTGTCAAAACAAACACTGGATGATGCAACAATAAAGGTGTTATCCAAAGGACTAAATTACGCTATAACTCCAAGCAGATTACCGTACGAAGAAATTATCTGTAGTGTCGAGGACTGTTTATTTAAAAACAATATGCGGAAAGAAGATTTGGCGGCGATACGTCAAGACATTTCGTCTATGTTACGTCGATGTTCAGTGCCTAAACCGAATCTTCCCAGAGACGAATTTATAGCGTTAAAGAACCTACGCAATAAACCAGAACTTACGATTCTCCGCGCAGATAAGGGAAACGCCACGGTGGTCATGGATACGTCAGATTATAATTCTAAAATACAAGAACTTTTGTCGGATGTAAGTACTTATAAAAAGGTTAAAAACGACCCAACAAACAGTACACTAAAAACAACTAGTGACCTCATAAAGAAACACTCCGAAAAATTAAATCTGGACGTAAAATGGATAATACCTACGTGCGCCAAATCACCAAAGTTGTATGGGTTACCAAAAATACACAAGCCCAATGCTCCATTACGCCCCATAGTGAGCCAAATCGATTCACCAACTTACAGATTGGCTCAATACTTAGCGAAAATACTCTCACCGCTCAGGGGACATACAAGAGCACACATAAAGGATTCCTACCATTTTGTCAGCGAGATTAAAGACCTACGTCTGGCAGACAATGAAACTATGGTCAGTTTTGATGTGCAGTCATTGTTTACATGCTTACCTGTTGAAGACTGCATCTCAATTGTAACTAGAAGGCTGGAAGAAAACAACATGCCCGTAGAATATGCAGTATTACTCAGACACTGCCTTACATCTGGCTACCTATTGTGGAAGGAGGAGTTCTACAAGCAAGTAGATGGTGTGGCGATGGGCTCACCTGTATCTCCCATTGTCGCCGACATATTCATGGAAGACTTTGAGGAGAAAGCCCTGCTTACTTCTCCCATAAATCCAAGATTCTACAAGCGGTACGTAGACGACACTTTCACAATTCTACCTTTAGATAAAGTAACTGCATTTTTAGACCATCTTAACTCTATAAATACTAAAATTCAGTTCACAATGGAGTTAGAGGCAAACAATTCCTTAGCTTTTCTAGATGTGTTAGTAATTCGGAATCCTGATAACACCTTGAGCCATACTGTGTATAGAAAAAAGACCCATACAGATAGATATTTAAACGGTGATTCTCACCACCATCCTTCACAGTTAGCTACCGTGGGTAAATCTTTGTTTCAGAGAGCACGAGGGATCTGTGACAGTAAACACCTGGCTGCCGAGCTCCAACATGTCAAGCAAGTTTTGCATGACAACAAGCTTCGGGTCCCGCGCCTACGTCACAGAGAACGAGTGAAGCCGGCCACAGTCGAGCGTGTACCTGCTGTACTGCCATATGTTAGAGGAGTCACTGACAAGATAGGCTACATCTTGAAGCGCGCTTCCATCAAAACATACTTCAAGCCGCCGAAGAAGATTGGTCAGTTTTTACCATCAGTCAAGTGTAACGTCCCTCTGCAAGATGCAGGAGTGTACAAGCTTGATTGTGAATGTGGTCTCTCCTACATAGGACAAACTAAAAGATCAATTAAAACCCGCGTCAAAGAACATATAGCTGATGTGAAGAATCGACGCTCCGGGAAGTCTGCAGTCTGTGAACATGTACAGGATCGCCCCCGTCACTACATCAGATTTGATAGACCACAAATCCTCGCTAAAGAACACCGATTCCTTCCAAGGATGATTCGCGAGGCTATTGAAATCAAAAAACATCCTAATTTCAATAGAGAAGATGGCTGGGTGCTACCATCTGCTTGGGATCCTATAATAAATAAAATTAAATCCCAACCCAAGCATACAACTGCAAGACTCCAAGATACCATAAGTTCATACTGTGTAGATCAGAACAAAAGTTAAATTTTAATCTATGGTAACCGCGGTTAACTATGACAGCTGGACGTTGAAAATCTCAGTCCTTCCCGTGACCATGGGTGCTGTAAAGCTCTCGAAACGTCGGGTAAAAAAGTTAAATATACGCGATTAATTCGACGTAAAAATTAGTATTATTTCAATGTGTAGTGTTCGCGTAAATATAAGAAATCATTATAACTTAATTACCATTTCGCAATATATTTATTTACTCTTTATTGACAGCCCTTAGTAACCACGGAAAGTCCGCCGTGACGTAAGAAGGGGAAAGTAATTCGGACACTCGCGCGCAGCTATAAAATTTTATTTAGATTGCGTGCGCGATTTATCGAGCTCAAGCGGGGATTTCAAGAGCGGCAGAATAACATGAGGGGGGAAATCTTGCACCCTATTAAGTACCCGCAACAAATGTGGGCTCTTTATATAGGGACATGCGCTTAGGGCAGTCGATCAAAATAGTAAAAAAAATATCGAAAGATCGAAAAACTCAAGCGCGTCTGATTAAGGCAAGGTGAGTTAATTACATGCAGAAAAGTGTGTATTTCAATAATTTGATGATTTGCACTTGACCTAAGGAAATAGGAGAGTCACAAAGTAAAAAAAACGTCACCTTGATTTACTCGAGCGCGGTTAATTTTATTTTTATTTTCAAGGGAATCATTTAAGGATCACGAAAATAATATAATCTGCCGATTTCCACAAGCCGAAGTAGTTAAAATTCTCAATATAGTGTGGTACGTGCAGCTACTGGGAACTGAGTATTTCCCACTTTACGTTTTCTTTCTCATTCTTTCTCTATCTCTCGACGATGATTCAAGTGACGATGAAGATTAAAAATTTATTTTCAACGTTTTTTTCTTCATTATAATACTAGGCCGATTCATTTTTTTTAAATTCCGCATTGTTTTCTAGTTATTTTCATTTTAATGTAAAGCTTTTTTAAACCCTTCAGATTAAGAAAATTCCTCCACATAATTAATTATCAGGGACAAGGACACCATGCTGAACTGTCCGTTTATTAATCTGACGCGCTCGAGCATTTCAAGGTCACATTTTTTTTGCATTTTCAAAAATTTGCCACGAGTTTTGGTCGCGTCCAAATCGTCAGTCTTTTGAATAGGAACTTCTTTAGGGTGTACTTAACATATCTTCAGAATATCTGACGCGCTCGAATAATTTTTTTTAATCCCATTGTCAACACCTTCCCACGGCCGCCCCCACCATTCAATCTGTCAGATTAATATTCCTCCGTCCTCAAAAATACGTGGGACGTATACACTGTAAATATCTGAAGCGCTCGAGTATTTTTTGTGACTGTTTTTTTTATACATTTTTGAAAATCTATAGCCGCTCATCCCACCACTGAAAAGGCATACATCATATAACCTTTTTTTGTTTTTTGCACCTAAGCTTCACAATCCAAGAGGTCCCCACGACGCTCGAGTAACTCCCAATTTAGCCTCTCGGGCTCCCCTATTATAATAATTATGTAGGCTATTAAACGTTGGCAAGCATTCAACATCAAACGAGTGCAACTTCCGTACGTAGTACTATGATTTATTTTGTGCTTTAAGCACTTAATGTGCACTGAAACTCATGGTTGTGCGCGCATTTCCGTTCGGTAAGTAAAAATTGATGTAGGTAGTAATAATTCCTATTTTCTTATCGTGTTCGTGGTGTGTAAATGGTTATAGTCGAGAGGTTTATGTATCTCCAGTTTGGCGTGACTCCAATGTTATTTACGACAATAAGCAAACGAAAAAATGTAAAATTTCTTTAATAATAAAATTGGCGATACTGAGAGAAATATAAAGAATGTTAGAAAGCAACCCAGTGTATAGCGCAAAATCGCAAACAAATGCCACAACAAGGCTGTTGATCGTTGGTGCACAATAGGTGCTAACTATATCCGTACATAAAATAAAATTAAAGTGTCTGTCTGCAATATTGTAACAAATGGAATTATATTATACTTATATTGCTCTATATTATTATTTGGTTTTTTGCATGCCATGCAGGATATCTATGGTTTTACTCTGACTCTATTTTCAAAAATTTTGTCGTTCTTTTAATCTGTTTGACCTTATTTTCGGAATTGCTGAACCAGTTGTAAAGAGTAATGCCGGCGATCTATGCTATACTTTGCTTGCGTTTTTATGACTCGATAAAATAAATAGACTTTGATGATTATCTTAAACCTAAAGAACGCTACATTAATAGATTCTATCGAGGTGAAGCCGGGCGGGTTGCTACCTTACAATAATTTAATTGCATGTATGCGGTTTTGTTTATGGAACGGTATGGGACGATGTAGTGAATAGAGTTAGATAAACGTTTAGTGCTTAGGCATAATTTAGAGCTAAAATACGTGAATGTGTTGATAATGTGTGTGGTTGTGCGTGCGCAGGTCGCGATCGGGGTCGCGGGCTCGCGTGCGGCGCTCGCCGTGGTCGCCACGTCGCCGCCGCACGCGTGAACGCACGCTCTCGCTCACACGGTACGTGTATGTGTTGATAATGTGGCGGTGCGTCCGTGCTCCGTGATCCGTGCGCAGGTCACGCGGTGCACGCTCTCGCTCACACGGTACGTGTATGTGTTGATAATGTGGCGGTGCGGCCGCCTCCGTGCTCCGTGCGCAGGTCACGCGGTGCACGCTCTCGCTCACACGGTACGTGTATGTGTTGATAATGTGGCGGTGCGTCCGTGCTCCGTGCTCCGTGCGCAGGTCACGCAGTGCACGCTCTCGCTCACACGTTACGTGTATGTGTTGATAATGTGGCGGTGCGTCCGTGCTCCGTGCTCCGTGCGCAGGTCACGCAGCGCACGCTTTCGCTCACACGGTACGTGTATGTGTTGATAATGTGGCGGTGCGTCCGTACTCCGTGCTCCGTGCGCAGGTCACTCAGTGCACGCTCTCGCTCACACGGTACGGGTATGTGTTGATAATGTGGCGGTGCGTCCGTGCTCCGTGCGCAGGTCGGTAATTGATCAATACCTGATGGAACATTTTAACAGTGGTAGAGCCACGCGGGGCAGCTTTGCTGTTACACGTACGGGGTAGTACCACGATCTCACAGAATACCGGCGTGAAGTGGAAGCTTTGCTTCCGCGTTTCGTCTGGTGAGTGCAGGTGGCCGGAGGCCCAAATACCCCCCCCCCCCTTAACATGGTAGCGGAATTAAGTGAAGATCTACGCCAGGAGGGTACCAGCACCCCTGGAGAATCCCTCGCTGAGCATCCACGACCAAGTTACTCCACTCCTGAGCGTGGGTGCTCAGGAGTGGAGTAACTTGGTCGTATTCTTGGGGGGTGGGATTCCGCTCAAGACTACAACTGCTCGGTGCAAACGCAGCAACAAGACCAAGGCGACCCCTGCCACGCTATCCGTGAATTTCTGCAATATCAGGGGACTTCATTCTAACCTAAACGCCGTCCACTTCTATTTCGAGACGGCGAGGCCGGCTCTGCTCTTTCTGACCGAGACGCAGGTGTCCTCTCCGCCTGATGTCTCGTATCTCCTACCCGGTGTACACACTGGAACACTCCTTTGTTCCTTCGGCTGGAGTTTGCGTTTACGTCAGAGAGGACATCTGTTCTCGACCCCTCGGCAGACTTGAAGGTTCGGACCTGTCCATCCTTTGGCTACGCGTAGACAGCGACGACCATCCGCGCGTCTACGGGTGCCTCTATAGGTCCCATAGCGGTAATGTCGAAACAGACCGACTCCTTGACCACGTCCAAAAGGCTACAGATTCGTTGTTGCAGCAGATTCCCTCCGCAGAAATCGTGATCCTCGGCGACTTTAACGCCCATCACGCCGAATGGCTCGGTTCACGCTTAGCCGATCTTGCGGGGAGATCTGTTCATGATTTTGCCTTGGCATATGGTCTGATACAACTGGTTACGTCGCCTACGCGGATTCCAGATGTGGAGGATCATGCACCTTCCCTGTTGGACTTTCTGCTGACCTCTCACCTGGACGGATATCAGATTTCCGTCGACGCCCCTTTAGGCTCGTCGGACCATTGTCTTGTCCGGAGTGTGGTGCCACTCACACTGAAATCGCAGTTACATTCTGCAGGCTGCCGCTGTGTTTGGCACTATAGGTCAGCCGATTGGGATGGGATGCGGTCTTTCTTTGCATCCTACCCTTGGGGGCGGGTTTGTGCGGATTCTGTCGATGATGTGGTACTTCAGGGTATGGAACTTTTTATTCCTTCCTCTGTGGTGCCCATTGGAGGTAAATCTCAGCCATGGTTTGGTCGCTCCTGTAAAATAGCATCATGCTATAAGCAGGAGTGCTACCAAGCCTGGGCTGACGTATCAACGTCCCGGGATGTAAACACCAGCGCTCTAAAAAGGAAGTATAATTCCGCCTCTATGTCCTTAAAAAGAGTCATTGCCAAGGCAAAGTCAGAGCACATAGACAGAATTGGCGAGAAACTAGTTCGCCTTCCTTCTGGAACCCGTGCATTCTAGTCTCTCGCCAAGGCTGTCCAGGGGAATTTCTGTCAGCCATCTATTCCATCTCTGCACAGGGAGGACGACTCACTGGTCCATACCGCAAAGGAGAAAGCCGATCTGCTAGGCTCTTTCTTTGCGTCCAACTCGACTCTCGATGACAGGGGGAGTACGCCGCCGACCATCCCGCGGTGTGAGTGCTCCATGCCGGAAGTGCGTTTTACACAGCGCTCGGTTCGCAAAGCACTCCTCTCCCTGGACATCCACAAGTCGAGTGGGCCTGACGGAATCCCCCCAATTGTGCTGAGGACGTGTGCTCCAGAGTTGGCACCGGTTTTAACGCGTTTTTTCCGGTACTCCTACTCCATAGGCGTAGTCTCAAAATCATGGAAGACGGCTTTCGTCCACCCTATCCCTAAAAAAAGGCGACCGCTCAGACCCGTCCAACTACCGGCCTATCGGCATCACCTCCTTGTTCTCCAAAACAATGGAGTCCATTGTCATCTGCCAGCTCATGAGGTACCTTGAGGATCACCAGCTGATTAGTGACCGCCAATACGGTTTTCGCCGTGGTCGATCAGCTGGTGATCTTCTGGTCTACCTAACTCATAGATGGGCGGAGGCAGTAGAGTCCAAGGGGAGGCATTGGCTGTTAGTTTGGACATTGCGAAGGCTTTCGATCGGGTTTGGCACAAAGCGCTTCTTTCGAAGCTCCCTTCCTTTTTTAGCTTTCGTGCCAATATTTCTCGGGAAAACGTCTCCGAATACCTGGACAAACTTGTGTCTGAAGTCGAGTCTTTGCTGAACAATGTCTCGGATTGGGGTCGACTAAATCTAGTCCAGTTTAACCCCCAGAAGACACAAGTTTGCGCGTTAACCGCTAAAAAGAACCCCTTTGTCATATCTCCCCAGTTTCAAGGCACTCCCCTTGTTGCCTCAGCCAGTATCGGTATCCTCGGCGTCGACATATAATGTATGTTTTGTAATGGCTTAAAATTCATTTACTGCATAATTATTATATAGAATATAAAAGTAAAATAGTCGGACCACAGATTAATGGAACAGAGGTAGTCAGCGGCTACTCAAAGTGCGGATATCGAGAGCGCGCGGTTGTTCGGAGTACGTACGGAACATATCAGTTTTCTTTTATTATTAAATTACAAAATTGTAATAGAAAAAAAAAATATTTTATTGTAAATTAATCAAATTATACACCGAATAAGAGCTATCAAGCTCTGACATTGCGCTATCTTTTAAGAGCTGTTAAAACGATATCCGATCTTAGCATAGACACACAGCGAATGGCGCTTCAGGCGGCCACTGCGACCGCGCTGTTGCAGCGGCTGGAGTCGCGGCTTGGGTTTAGCCGCCACGGTAAGCCGCTTGTAGGGAGACGCTTTAAGCTTGTTGTGTATTATTTACTGCCGGGTACTGGTAGTACTAAGCTAATAAGTCAATTAAAGCTTACGTAATTAACACTTTGTGATATCCTCAGATCTCCGTCGCCCCGACGTCGGCACCGCTCCCCGATGCGGTATCGCTCGCCGCTGCGGTCTCCAGGCCCACGGTCTCCGTTGCGCACTCCTCTGCGGTCTCCTCTGCGGTCTCCGCTGCGGTCACCACTGCGATCTCCGCTGCGGTCTCCGCAGCGTTCCGTGCCACACTCACCACTGCGCTCGCCGCATCGCGCACCAATACGCTCTCCGGCGCCGCCTCGACCCATGTCGCCGCATAGGTGAGTGTTGAATTAATATCATCCCATCATTCAAGTCACCTATTGACTGCGTGTTTTCAAATATATATACACATCTTAAATTGTTAAATAAAAAAGTCTTAAATATTTAAATAGTAAATGATAAATTCAACTTATGGTAAAAAATAAAAACCGATTTTATGGAACTAAAAAGAATAAAATGGCTTCACTTTTAAGGTCGGTGCTAAAACATAGTGTATCCAAGAATAAAAGCCCTGATTTCAGAAGCTAATACGTGGAAAATATTTTATTCATTATTTATGATATTATTGAAAGTTTAATGTTTGACCTTAGGAGTGGACTAAGGAATATTTCAAGCTCAACGTAACAACTATAATACTATTATATACTATACTATATACTACCTTTCCAACAAATAGAGATGGAACAGTCTACCTGTTGGTAAGTGGATGCTGTAGCCCATAAACACTTACACTTATTCTTCAATTTTAATCAAAATGTAAATTGTTGTCACCTCTGAGGACTAAGATAGAATGCCTCGTAATCAGTAAAAAGGGTCTCCGAGTCTCTAACACAAACCATACTTCCGTTACATTTTACGTAAACAAAGAACTTTACGCTGGTATTTTGTGTTGCTCGGTCAAGACGACCCATAGTGATGTAACTATAGTACAGCTGTAGCGTGTCTACCACGTAAAAACTATTTATGCTATTTATTATTTAATTGAAAATATCAAATCTGAAATGTTATCCGGCCTATTTCGTACCACATTGTAAAAAAAATACGAAAACAACTTTTGAACAATTGTTTTTGAATGTGCCACTAACTGCAATGGTTATTACAAAGAATTCTTATATTTATGCGAACACTACACATTTAAATAAAACTAGTTTTTACGGATTTTATCGCGTGTATTAACCTATTTTATATTCCTGACGTTTCGAGAACTCGTTACGAATAGTCCCGCATGCAGACTCGACGACTCCCGGCCTCCCAAAAAAGCTGGTTTCAGAAAGGCCCATAGACCACATAGAGTACCATCTATGTCTTGTTTATGACGACGGTGCTGCAGTCCCTCCAACGGTACCAAGTTGACTGTCGTTATATCGAAGTGCGTATGTGTGCGTACAGTAGGGCTACGATAGCTATCCCAGTACGGAACCAGAGTAAAAAGCTTATCCGACTGCGGAGAGGTATAAGACAGAGTGACGTTATATCCCCGAAACTTCACCGCCGCATTGGTAGACGTTTTCAAGCTACTGGACTGGAAAGGATACGGTATTAACATCAATGGCGAGTACATCACTCGCGTTCGGTTTGCCGACGACTTAGTCCTTATGGCAGAATCACTAGAGTACCTAAACACAATAGTGCCTCGCAACAGGTAGGTCTTAAGATGAACATGGACAGAACAAAGATCATGTGTAACGTCCATGTCACACCTATGCCGGTATGTTCACCAGCTCGAAGTTGTTGACGAGTATGTTTACCTGAGACAAATAGTCCGACTACGTAAGTCCAACTTCGACCGAGAGGTCAATCGACGGATTCAACTCGGCTGGGCAGCGTTCGGGAAATTACGACACATCTTCTCAAAACTTGAAAACGAGATTGTACAACCAGTGCGTGTTGCCAGCGATGACTTACGGAACTGAGATGTGGTTATTCACTGCTGGCTGTATGAGGAAGCAAGGACGCTCAGCGAGCTATAGAGAGGGCTATATGCTCGGGGTTTCTCTGCGTTAAAATTAGAAATGAGGATATCCGCAGTAGAACCAGAGTGACCGACATAGCCCAACGGATTAGTAAGCTGAAGTGGCAATGGGCCGACCATATTTAATTTATTTAAAACTTAAATTTAACACCTTAAGCTAAAGTGGTACATAGGGCGGACTTAATGCCATGTGCCATTCTCTGTCAGTCAACCCTGGGTGCCAAAGACAATTGTTGGCAGGTGCGAAACGTAACATACATACACAACACATATAAAACTACTACACAACACCTAAAACTGCCCTAGAACCCATAATGTTGATTTCTAGAAATAAAAACTCAACGGTTGTAGAATAGGGGGAAGGGGAAGATAGAACAACTTTATAAGGAATATTTGATCGGATATATAGCGATCCCACTTAACCCCTTCTCAGTCCGATTATTGCGTATAAGAATGAAATTGGGTAGTGGGTACAAATTCGACATAATAGATCGTTTTAGCCAACTCTCAGATATTAAGATAGCATCGATACAGTCTAGTGAGAATGCTTCTTCAAAGTAGGAAAAGTGACTTGGAATGCGTTGAAAGGCGTTAATATGACAAACGTTAAAGGATTTATTATGAGGCAGAAAAATATTGTTTTTAACTGATCGCGTAGGGGAAGTAAATTATATGTCAGATAATTACCAGAGGTGTATGAAGAGTCTGAACTATAAATTTAATAAAAAGATTCACCATCAGACATTATTTCAACTTATATTTATATACAGGCTATCCTGAAATTCGACGTCAACCCGGAACCGGTTTAAAAGGCAAGTTATGCTGGTTGTCAGAAAAATTAAAAAAATCTAAGTTGCATGTTTTCAAAATTATAGGCATTAAAAAAAAACGGAAAAATGTTACATTCTTTGATAGTCTTTTCACTCTTGTTGCCACAAATCTTTACTTTTTAAAACTATTTTTTTTTGTTATGAAACCCTGAATAATGCTTCTCTAAACTGGTATCAAAATTTCAAAACCAGTTGCTCTAGCTTGCATAAAAATAGGACTTATTTTCTAAAAAAAATTAAAAATTAAAAATTTACTGGATTTAACTGACTGTATTGATGTTATTGTACTAGGCGAGTTTGGAAAATAGCGTCAAAAGTTGGCGCATTTAGTAAGGATTCCAAAATGGTATAACACTTGGCAAATTGTAGCTGCAATCGTGGACATTGTTTTTTTTTTCTATTTTGAACTTATTTTGAGACACTATTTTGAAAAGATGTAATGAAACTATAACTTGCTAGTTTGTTCAATTTTTGATTTTCTAAGAACTTTCAGTGTCACCCTCATAATAAAAGGATGACAAAGAGCTTACTTTAATGCCTTTTAGCATTCTCTCTCATTCAACTCGGGATGTGTGGAAAATAATGTGATAACTGGAAAAAGAGAAAATGGACAATAGAATAAATCAGAAATAATCAAAAAGATCTGTTGATAAACTCAAAAATAGACAAATGTTATATATATCAGCATAAATACAGTAAACTTATAAACAATAAAATTTAATACAAACACTAAATATAAAGTGGAACGAACTATTTACAAAATTTATTTTAAAAACAGCTTGGAAGAGACCACCTCATTCCCAGGGGTTATTAGCAACCATGTATTCATTAAACAGTTTTTGTTTTAATAAAATATTTAAACTTGGTAATAGAGAGACCTTGTATACTTTCTGGGACTTTGTTGTAATAGCGTATACATTGCCCCAATAATGAATTACTGACTCTGGAGTCGAGAAACTGGTAGTGATTCCAGTTGTGCTTGTTTTTGTTCTTGTATTTGTTCCTAGTGTTTACAGAGTGTATATCGTTAAGCAGCTTTTATGGCTATCTTTTGCAAAACAGATAGTTTCATTGCCAGTCGCATTACCCCATAGCAAAATCCCATAAGACATTATGCTATGAAAATAACTGAAATAAACTAATTTAGCTGTCCCGACACTAGCGACACCTCTGATCATTTTTAGAACATTAGTTGTAAAGCTTAGTCTGCTTGCAAGTTAACATATATGGGGATACTGAAGCTTTGCGTCGAGAGTGATGCCAAGGAATACATTGGATTTAACAGGGCTCATTTCTTCCTAATTTAAAAACACATTGGTATTTAGATTTTAACATTCGGTGTTGTAAATTCAATACATTTAGTTTTATTGCCATAAAGTATAAAGAAAAGCAAGCATTGCCATATGAACTGAAGTTGTATTCAATTGAGGTGGATTATATTAAAAATGTTATTAGACTGACGTAGAGTCCTTAAATCAGAAGGGTTATCACTTTCTAACTTCCTTCAAATTGTGTCAAATAAATGTAAATCAGCCTAAAACTAAATAAAATAACACATAACTAAGTATGGATAATCTGGTAAAACATGTAAATATAATGAGTGTTTTGACTGCTTAATAAAACATCAGTGCGAGTATCAGCATTCAATACCTGTGCGGTTAAAAAATGGGATTGAAAGTGGCGTCTCCTATATTCACTTTTCGCACGCACACTGTCGCTATCTATGCCCACACCTGCCGGTAAAGACTGCAAAACATACTGTTACGCGCCTTAGTCGACGGCACTAGCGCCATCTAGTCTCGAACCGATGAACTAAACTTCTTGAAGTTGAAACTCGTACTCTCGGTATCTTGCGCGTGTTTACTTGAAAAAGTAAATTTGAATATTCTGGATATTTCCGTGCTAATTTATATAAATAGGCGCTGCAAGATGCGATCGGGGAAGTATTGAATATGGCGAGACAAGCGAAGCTTCGGAGCGAAATAAAGTGAATTAGTGTGATTAATTATTAGTGTTTTAAGTTTTAATTTGTGTAAAGAAAATTAAAGTGTTAATTTAGGTAATTTTATCGGCAATTTTTATTGTCACGAACCTCAAGCTCGTAACAATTGGTGTCAGAAGTGGGATAAAATCATGACGATTTTACCTAAGGAGGAAACGGAGGGTGTCCGTACCCGAAGTCAACGCCAGCAGGAGACGGACCAAAGAAGATTTGGTGGTGCAACGCCGCAGACGTCGGAGGGCCAGCCGCCGGCTGCAGGCCCGTCAGTAGCTCCTACATCTGCAGCTCCTGACTTGGGTGCTCTGATGGTGATGCTGCAGGAGCAGGCTCGCCGACAGGAGGAACAGGCCCGCCGACAGGAGGAACAGGTCCGTCGTTTGGAAGAGCAGCTGCGGGGCGGACAGGAGGAACAGGCCCGCCGATTGGAAGAGCAGCTGCGGGGCGGACAGGAGGAACAGGCCCGTCGGCAGAGTA